CGCTAGCAAGCCCGCACCCGAAAAGGAGTTTTGAGTGCTGTGGGAGAAGCATGTGGAGAAAAAGCTAAAAAAAAGCAAGCATATCATTTGGATTTTAGTTTCAATTTATTTTAGTCATAAATAATTTATAAAATGTACTAAATACGACCTCAAGTACCAGCGCACCGCCATCCTTCTCCCTTCAATAGCCTAGCGTCTTCCAGTCCCACCCTCCATCTTTTTTTTGAAGCAAGGTTTGTACTTTATTAATTCTGTGGAGGTTCGTTTACATCACGAGCTCCCAAAGTTGTTACAAACTCTGGGAGGGGATCGATCCAAACATGAGATCGATCTAGGTCCCAATTCAAACCAACATGAGCAAGATCATGTGCACCCCTATTACAAGATCGTGGTACATGGACACCATTAAAATTTAGAGACATAAGGAACTTAGCTTTTCTAAACAGGACACCATTAATAAAAAAATCATAAGAGCAGAACTGGAGAGCCTCTACTAGAATTGATGAATCAGTCTCCAAAAGGATCTGAGATATACCTTGGTCAATTGTTGCATAAAGAGCTGCAAGGCAAGCTTGGGCCTCTGCACTAAGAGCATCATGCACCACATTGATTCTACCTGCACCGGCCATCACAACAGCCCCTCTGTGATCTCTCACAATAAAGCCCCATGCAACTTTCTTTTCTCTTTGAGAGTAAGCTCCATCCAAATTAATCTTCAAGATGTCTGCAGCAGGAGGAGACCAGCAAGAAATTCCACTTTGTTTCCTATTTGCCTTCTCATGTGTATGAAGATTATCAAAAGATTTCATAGCCTGTACCTTGTACACTATCTCCTCAGTGGACAAAATTCTGTCCCCAGCATTTGCCTTGTTTCGTGCATCCCACCAAACACAAAGAAAATCAATCACTAATAAATTTTTATCCTCTTCTAGAGAAAGAATTTTTATGGCAACCTGTTTTGCAAAGTTAAGGTCAATCAAAACCAGACGAAGCTGCTCCAAATTCAAAGCTCTCCAACATTTCTTGACAAATTTACATTTCAGAAAACAATGCCCACCATCTTCATTTAGCCGCCAACATACAGGGCACCGTGTATCAATGTCCATGCCTCGGCAAAAAATATTCATGCGTAGAGGAAGATTGTTATGAGATAGTCTCCAGAAGAAAAGTTTCACCTTCGGTTGGCATTGAAGCTCCCAAATTTTCTTCCAATTAAAGTTACAAGTGTGGTTTGAGATAGCACTAGCTTCACCTACCTTCCACCTTTGTGAGAGATCATTTTTATCTTTCAAAACGTGATATGCAGACTTGACTGAGAATTCTCCTTTTGAATCAAAATGCCAGGCCAAAGAATCCTCCATTCCACTTTTCAACGGAATAGATAGAATGTATTTTGCATCTTCTTCCTAGAAAACGTCATTTACCAAGCTTCTATCCCAATCACCAGACATCGGATCAATAAGATCAGAGACCTTGTTTAAAATTGTTTGCCCCCTAGGTGTACAAGGTCTCCTAGTAACACCATGTGGGATCCAGGGATCTGTCCATATATTAACCTGAGTGCCATCTCCGACCCTCCATATCAGCCCATCCTTCCTTGCACCCCCCGAACAATACTTCTCCATGAATATGAAATTCCAGGCTTCTCTACTACTGATAGAAGGTCGCCATCAGGGAAATATTTAGCTCTCAGAACCTGAGCGCATAGAGAGTCTGGATTTAGAAGAAGACGCCAACCCTGTCTTGCGAGCATCGCTAAATTGAAAAGATGTAGATCTCTATATCCCAAGCCACCCTTTTCCTTTCTGCAGCATAGTAACTCCCAAGATAACCAATGCATCTTATTTTTCTTGTCTTGCTGAGCCCACCAGAATCTACTTATCATACTGCTGATCTCATCACAGAGAGTTTTTGTCAGATCAAAACATGACATTGCATAGCTTGGAATGGCTTGTGCTACAGCCTTAATAAGAACACCCTTGCCAGCTTTCGATAATAGCTTCTCCTTCCACCCTTGTATTCTTTTCCAAACTCTTTCCTTCAAATATTCAAAAGTTCTTCTTTTTGATCTCCCCATATAAATTGGAAGCCCCAAATACTTTTCATTTCGTGCCTCTGAAGTGATACCCAAAGCTGCCATCAATTGGTTTTTCTCTGAACTTTTTGTATTCCTACTAAACATGACTGATGATTTATCCTTATTGATAGTTTGACCCGAGCAATCTTCGTACAAAGAAAGAATATTTTACAGATGATGTGCACTCCATTCATCAGTTTTTAGGTGTAGCAGATAATCATCTGCAAACAAGAGATGATTTATACTCGGAGCATTTTGGCACACTTTAACACCAGTCAGCTCCCCTCTCCCTTCAGCTTCATGTAACAGGCATGAGAAAGCTTCAGCACACAGTAAGAAAAGGTAGGGAGACAGGGGATCACCTTGTCTGAGACCACGGTGGGGGATGATCTCCTCTGTTAATTCACCATTTACCTTGATGCGATAGGTGACTGTTGAGACACAGTTTAGAATAACCTGGACCCAACCTGCATTAAACCCAGCTTGAGCAACATTTTCTCCAAAAAAAGACCATTCAACCCTGTCATATGCTTTACTCATATCTAATTTCACAGCTGCATAGCCATCAGATCCCCCCTTTTTGGTTTGCATAAGATGTGTCAACTCATAAGCTAGTAGGACATTATCAGTAATAAGATGCCCAGGCACAAAGGCACTTTGATTCAAAGAAATAATATCAGGCAATATGACTTTCAGCCGATTTGACAAAACTTTAGATGCAATTTTGTACACAACAGTACATAGGCTGATCGGCTGCAGATCTTTTAATTTTTCTGGATTTTGCACTTTGGGGATCAACACAATAATTGTTTCGTTCCATCCTTCTGGCATTGTGCCCCCATTTAGCAGGTTCTTCACTTCCCTCACTACATCCTCCCCAACAATACTCCAGTACTGCTTGTAAAAGAGGGTTGGCATTCCATCCACCCCAGGAGCCTTTAAATCCCCCATATTATCAAGAGCTTGCTTAATCTCCTCTTCACTATATTCCTTCATTAAGTGGTGATTCATATCAGGCGTCACTTTCTGGTGAACCTGGTTTAGCAACTCCTCAAAACGAGCACCTGCATGGGATTCAAAAAGGGATTCATAAAAGTTAGTAATCATCAATTTCAGCCCTGCTGTATCCTCCATTACACCTCCATCATCCTTCACCAACTTTTTTATTTTGTTTGTCCGTTTCCTTTCAGAAGCATATTGTGGAAAAAATTTGTATTCCGATCTCCCTTTTGTAGCCAATGAACATGTGCTCTTTGGCGCCAATACAGTTCCTTCTGATCTTCAAGCCTCCCTAGTTTATATCTGAGAATTGATTCCCGTGAGATGTTTTGTCCATTTAGCACACCTTTTCGACACTCTTCCATATTTTTGCGTGCCCTTCTAATCCTTTTCTCTAAGTCCCCCAAAATGTTTTTGCTCCAGTCCCATAAATCTGTTGACACTTGCCTAACAGCATCTCCCACCCTCCATCTGGTGGCCTGTAAGTGGCAGTGGTTATCATTTTGGATGGGTCTCATGGAGTGAAGGCCCAATATATAAGTTAGACAAGATTTAATTTAAAAGATGGTTCTTAAATCAGGTTTTGGAAAAAAAATATAAGGTTAGGGAAAAACAATTTGTGTTCACATTATCCAAACATGCATAACACTATCCACAAGAAACATGCTACAGTGCTGAATTCATTAGCACAGGCTTCCTAAATAAGAGCTTTGGTGGGCATAAATCACAAGAATGGCACAATCTAGTAGCATGCATTGCGAATGGTAACTTACAAGTTGGACTTTGAACAAAAATGGTATATTCACATTAAATTCTCTATATCTTATTATAGTCATTAATAGTATTAAAGTCACACAAGCAATTTAGCGAACAAAATTACTTTGAAAATTAAGGTTTTTTATGTTTTATAAAAAAGAGTGTCATCCTTACTAAAGATAACCTTGCTGGAGGAATCGTAATGCTAGTAGATATGGTGTTTTTATGTTAAATTAGAAACAATTCAACACCTCTTTTTTTAATGTCATTATGCTAGGTTCTAGTGGTGTGCTTTACATATTGTGTTAGGTGTCATGCTCCACTAAATGTGGAAAAGTATATTTGGTGGATATCATAAAAAGAGAGGCAATCACTATAATTTACTATTACATACTAGTGTTGCTACTTTTTGTTAGTCCATATGGCTAACAAGAATTGACACTATTTTTCTGATAAATCTCAACCTAAAACATATTTGCGCGTTATGTTCAAGGGCACATTGGCTACAATTTTGGGCCCATTACAACATGTGAATAGAGAAAAGACCACATCCTACAGCCATGTCACAAGCTGGAGTCTGCAACAATGGCTTTCTTCGCCTCCCATGGGTTTTAACCAAATTATGACTTTGCCAGTCGTGTGAGACTATTTTTTGTGGTGAACCTTGTAACAGCGTGATTTGATTCCTCTCTTGAGAGGATGAAGACGGATGGTACTTTCATTTATAAAAAAAGGAAATACTATTTTTACCCAAATGGATTTTAAGTTTTTGTGGTTGTTATTTGGCTTGGTGAGACTTCCACTCTTATCCCCACAACATATGCCCAAATCTATACACAACCCTAATTATAGAAATGCATTGCTCCAAGTCACAATTAAATTTGCCTAGAACATGATAATTTAAGCATGTCACTTTTTTCAGGCTTTGCTTCAATTTCAAGGATCGATCTAACAACATTGTAGCAACATTTTGTTTTGAAGACTTCTCACAACTAAGCTTTGTTATCTTGGTCAAGGAAAGCACTGATTTCAAACAACACTTAGATTTCTTGTTTGGAAGATGCATTGTTGATGGATAAATATACTTTATTTGATTGATGTGTGTATTCAGTTCTAGGATCTTATACTAATATATTTTGTGATTTCTTGGGCTCCTACTACAATCCAGATGGAAGGAGAAGTTGCAACTCACCACGAGCCAGCAAAGGGGAAGGACAAGGTAATCAATGCAATAGTTTGCCCTTGTATTTAGGCAGCACCATACCAGGCAATCAATTCACATTTTATTGTCTTGCACTATAATTATATCTATGCATGAAACATGGTGAACATCTGCATTTTTTATTCATTCCTTTTTTATCAAAATCGAAATGTGCAAGGATCACACTGAAGAGGCGAAACCTATGAAAGACAAGAAGGAAAAGAAGCCAAAGAAGGAAAAGAAAGAGAAGAACGAGGACAAAGAAAAGGAGAAAGTTAGGGAGATCACCGACGCTGCCAAGCTGAGGACCAAACTAGAGAAGTTGGATGCAAAGATCGATGACCTAAAGGCCAAGAAGCAAGAGATTGTGGCTCGACTTTTGGAGCTTGAGGGGACATCACCAGCCAGTGGTGAAGCAGCTGCACAACTGGTGACTAGCGGGTGACACGACATGTAGATGATTGGTGGGGACCTTGGAATGAGCTGAGCAACTGTTTTCAGCTAACAAGTTCTATAGAAGGAGCCACACAAGCAAAATAAATTGACCATTTCGCATGTAATTATTACTATAACCACTCGTGCTTTTGCATGGACTATAATCATAAGCATTAGAAGTTTATGGATAACTTTAGCTCCCACAATTAACTAAAATTCTTTGTCTTTGTGCACGATATCCATATAGATCTGTCTATGATCTCTATCTATATGATAGATTTACCAATTACTTAAGTTATGTCATAGATTTTCCCCATTTGCCTCACATCTCTACGTGTCTATATTATATCTTTAGTTGAAATCTTAGCTTAAGTTTTACCAACCCTTATTGTAGCCCATGTGCCGTGAAGTCATAAACCTATATTTTAGCTTTCATTTTTGACTTATTAGTTACTATTTTTATTATTTTAAGTTGAAAGTTGGTATTTGTTGTATATTTTATTTAAAACTCACCTTTGTATGCTATTAAAAAAATAGTCTAGGTCCTAGGCTTAGTTATTGCAATGGCAAAACAATCATTTTAGCACTCTAGATGTTGAATTTCTTTTATCGAAGAATTTTGTGCGCACTAGTTTTTTTTTGTAAAAATAGAGTCATTGCAATGTAGATATGTCATAACGTTTCAATCCAAATGTATAAACTTATATAAAGTATCAACTTATGTAATTTATTGTCATGAGTATTAAATTATTAACATAATTCAAAATGATTTGTTAGTTGTATTGGCATGTTATTCTTTAATAGGTTTTTTGTGATTACAAAACCATCGAATCATACATGCATGCAATTGGTCTATATGGTGGGCATACAATATATTTATGTTTACTTTGAGCTACCTTTCTATAAGTAATGGTAGAACTAGTATTTAAAACATATATATAGACATACTTTATAATTATTTTTTCCATAATAATCGTAGAAGCTAGTAAATTTAAGGGGTTATTTAATATTATCTTACATAATGACGCAAGTCAATAATTTGGATGTTGGGGTTTACTTTAAATTATTTTTTGTAATGACACAATAAATAATTGTGAATACAAATGTAGGGCTTACTTTAGATATATTTCACAATGGCACATGTAGATAATTTAGGCGTGGATTTAGGGTTCACAATGGCATAATGTCAGTAATTTACTGTAAACTTATGGACCATTTTTTGTTATTTTTCTTAATGACAAATGCGGCTATTTTTTTAGAAAACAAAAAAATAAATGTTATGACTATAATTGTTGTTGGTAATTAGAGTCTATATATGGAGTCAATGGTTGTATGGTTATGATTTTTGGAATTTAGATTTATCCTTTTCTTTAGTGCTCAAATGGGAATTAACATGGAGGACCCACTTGGAATAATAAGGCAGTCAAAGGGTGCGACTATTGTCTAAACAACAGACTCGGTTTGGATCTCCTAAGAAAAAAGAGAATGAGGTAGAAAAATAAGGATGAGATCCAAACAATCCAACTATCTACCCAAACCTGCTATTTTGAAGATTTTTACTACACCAATAATAATCGCTATGAAAATGAAATCCAAACGTCCATCATTTCTTGAACAGAATCGTGAGATTTTATACTCATTGTCTAGAATCCAGATTCTCACTATGAGAATGAGATCCAAACATGTTCTTAGCATTTTTCAACTATAAAAATTGAGATGTAAAATATAGCAATCGACATACCAAGGACAATCGGAGGGATTGAGAGACGATGGTCAATTTGGACGAAAAAAAAAACTGAGGCGAGACTACCGACTTGAAGAGACAATCGCTTGATTCAAGTGATTGTGTTGAGTCACATTAGCAAAACTTTTGGCGAGGTCACCGTAAATGCCTACTGCTTGATTCACGGTTTGAATATAAGGTGAAGCGGAAGGACACAAGAGGGATATGAAGGGCCTGTTTGGTTGCTACCATGACAGTGCTTGGCAACAAATCCTGGCCACCAGGTAGTCAAAATCAATGACATGGATTGCTGCCTGGTCAGGGAAGCTTGCCTGGGCAAGCAACCAAACAGACGTGACGTGCAAGCTGGGTGCGAGCCCAACTTTGATGACTTGGATAGCTAAGGAACCAAGCGATTTGATTATGGGGTAGCTTCTTCTCGTTAGTATAGTAGCTTTCATGGGAGGCCTAGTCCAATGATCGATGTTCTATCTATATGGTAGGAATAGGAACTAGGAACACACGCATCCAGTGGCGGGTGGCCAATGCAAGTCCAATCTTGTCGATCACCGGAGCATACATATATGGAAGGTTCAGAAAAGGGTGATTCTGTTTAAACATGCAGCTTCTATGAAACAGATGAGATAGACCATGCCCAGTATGGGTTGGAACTTGGAAGCGATGGCAAATAACACCTCCTCCCAAAAAGTGTTACCTTAGTCAAACTGTTTAAAATTTAGTTAATCAAAATTCTATGTTTATAACTATACATTTGGTAAATCTAAAGATATTTATCTGACATCATAAATATTTATAATTGTTTGTATACATTAAGTTAAATTTGAATAGTTTGATTTAAAATTATTCAAGAGTTGCATTTCTTTTAAGACAGATAATTACATGTTGTAAGCTCTTACGGGCTTACGGCAGATCTTATACGGTAATGAAGGGGTGGAGAGAAATAATAGAACTTGGCAAGGAAAAGACGCAGGGCCGGCGTAGATGGTAGGGTGTGCTTTTTTTTAAGGGAAAGATGGGTAGGGTGCTGATTATCTGTCATAGATTGGGCCAAGAAATTCCTCTAAAAGAAAAGGTTGGGCCAATAAAGGCCTGCTTGCGTTCCCCTAAGGCCTCGTTCGGCAGCTGGGGAACCAATCCAGGAGAAGAATTAATCCAGGCCTGGAATTAGTTGATCCCCTTGCTGTCACTCATTCCTGGGCAGGTTTAATTCTCTAGTAAAACCAATCCCCTTGCTCCTATTTGATTGTTCGGTTAGCCAGGGATGAATCTAGAGCTAAGAATCGGATGCGTATACATATCCAGATGTTTAACTGACAAAAGTGCATCAGAGGCAGCTACAAGTCTGCAACCAGCGTAAATTCGAGTGATAAGGAATACAAAAGTGCATCAGCAGCAACATACTCTTACAACAGTTACAGTCTATAGTTCCCAAGAATTTATACGAATCACTGATCATCTAACAAACAAAAAACAAGGTATTGAAACTTTGAAAGGAGTCTTCTACTTGTTGTATCTTGTAGTAATCTCTTGTTTCTACAAGATCACATCTGGCACAAATCTTCTATTAGATCTCTGAATGTTTAAAATGCAAGGGTTCTACGCAGCAACTTGATAGAAACACAAACGTTCTAGGCACCTTGTACTACCTCAATATCCTTAGGTTCTCCAAAACTTGAAACGGAAATGTTGGACATTATGATATAGCAATCGCCGACCAATGGAAAGAGGTGAGAGGGGGTGCAAACAAACTATTAGTTTGATAAAAATAAGAAATATCATCTAGATAATAATATAAGTAACAAGAAACCATCTGGTGAAACTGAACCCTGAATAAATTGCTCCTGCGTTAATCAACTTTGCACGCATCCAACGGGTCTTAATCAAGAGGTTCAGGGCTGTCATATCTAGCTAGGATATTTATAGATTGCTCCTGCTCTATGCATAAAACAGATTACCCCACACAAATTAAAGGTAGGCACCTTTGCCAATGACACTGACAATATACGTACACGGCCACCCAACCCAACAACTAGTATATATAGCCGATAACAAGACAAGGCTGTATACTGATCCTATTCCTATGCATGCATGCATGATACATACATACTCTGATATATCCAAATTAACACACGTATACAGACTACTTGATATATCCAAATTAATAGTTCTTCTGATTAGTAGTTTCAGAAATCAGAACTGATACATGGTAACACACGTTATACATTTTAGTCAGTTAAAAAGCTTTTATTCCTGGTCATTGAAACAAAAGTAATTGAATCAGAACAAAAAGTAAGGGCTTCCAGAATGCTAACGAAGATGACTTCTGGATCAGGACAATGCTAATCAAATAATACCTCAACTGACTATAAGAGGCAATGAATACAAAGGGACATCTACTAAAATATAAATCCAAATCGCAAAACCATGATTCACTGAAGTATTAATCCAAACCGCAGAACCACGAGTCAGTTCCAAAATTAAACAGGCAGATAGTGGATATAAGCTTGCCAATAAAAAGAAAATAGCATTTCTTGCAGATCAGTTCTGAATATACTGGCACAAAAGGTTTTAGACAATAATGCCAGCAGCAGCTGAAGGAGAGAAGGTAGCTAACCATGAAAAATCACTGAGAACAAGTAGTGAGAAGCTACCCTGTACACTACAAGGTAAGATCTACGGACCTTCAGATATTTTTTTTTTCAAAAGAAGACATGGATGTTATAATGTCCGTGACAGGATACATTTCCAAGCTGCAGGAGTACGAGCTCCATGCCTTGCAGCTAGTTATTATTTACCACCACATATAAAACCAGAGTCACCTACAAAGTTTTCTCATCTTCTTTGATTCTGATATAGAAGAATTAAATATTTTTCAATGATCATGTCCCAGTGAAACAACAATCCTCCAACCAGGTAAATCACTCCTGTGATAATCCAGACTCCAGTATTTTACAAACGTGCAGGCCCAGATGCACCGCAAAGGAGTCCACCTGCCCAAAGCAAACGAACGAAAAGCATGCATATCTCTCGTTCTTCCTTTTCCTGATCCAGCTTTAAGTATGCATCTAACCAAAGAGACCGACGAGCAGTTTGGTCGCTGGGGGCAAAGAGTGGCGCCTTTCTTGGCAAGACCAGACCGACCGGGCGAGCAAGCCATTCATTCACCTAGGGACGGATCGAGCGCAGGCAAGCAAGAACCCTAGCGCCGACGAGAACCCTAGCAAGAACCCTAGCGCCGCGGAGAGAATGGGGCAAGGAAGACGAGG